AAATTAAGAACCAAGCGGACTGTGAAGAGCTGCAGAAGGACCTCTGTGGGCTCCAGGAATGGTCGAAGAAATGGCTGCTGAGATTCAATGTCACGAAGTGTAAGAGGATGCACCTGGGGCGTACCAACGGTAAGGAGGCGTATCATATGTCCCAACGGGATGAAGAAAATGCACTAGTTGAGACTGTGTGTGAGAAGGACCTAGGTGTGTATGTTGACAATGAGCTGAAGTTCTCGGGCCATTGTGAGAAGAAGGTAAATCAGGCAAATAAATTATTGGGTCTTATAAGAAGGTCGTTCAGATATCTAGACGGTCCGTCCCTCGTAACGATCTTCAGGAGTGAAGTGCTTCCCCATCTGGAGTACTGTCACCCCATCTGGTCCACGAGATATGCTAGGGACTGTCAGTTGGTTGAAAATATTCAAAGGAGGGCCACCAGACTGGTGCCTGCACTTCGGCACCTCAGCTACCCTGAGAGATTGGAGCGCCTGAACTTGCCTAGCTTATACTACAGACGGGCAAGGGGGAACCTAGTTGAGGTGTATAAGCATCTCAGGGGGCACTACTCAGTTGAGTGTCCTTACTTGGAGCTGGCGGACGCTCGCCCCACAAGGGGTCACAGCTCAAGATTGAAGAAGCCGCAAGTCCAGAAAACCGTGAGGGCAAACTTTTTCGGAGTGAGGGTTGTAAACTCTTGGAACAATCTACCAGAGAGTGTTGTGACGGCACCGAGTGTGAGCTCTTTCAAGAGAAGACTTGACCAACACTGGAGCGGGTTCAGGTACATTCAGGAGCCGGTGCATGCCCAGTACTTGCCAACAGTGCGTGACAGAGACGTGACCGATCGCCCAAGCGGCTAACAAGCCGATCAGTGGCGAAGAAGATAAAAGTAAAGTAAAAGATAAGTTCTGAGTACCCGACGCCCGGAATCATCCTCCTTCCCGCTTCCACTAAGAATCCACAGGTAGGAGTTGTTCCTTCAGGCGGTAGTTTTAATCACTCGAACTTCTTCCCCTCCGTTGTACTTGTGTGCTTGGTGTGTTGGTTACAAACACTGGAGCTGGAACCAAATTAAAGATTATACGGACGACCATTAACTAGTCCTCTCAACCGGTGAGGTCGAATACTCTACAGAGAACGGGAGTTGGAATTTATTGCTGTATTCGGAACATGGCCGTCCTCTGTTTTCATTGAAAATGAGTTTAGAATACCCAGTTTTCGCTATTTTATTAGGGAAAACTGTCTTATGCTGTGGAAAAATATTAAAATGGCTTAAATCATGTGCTAACCTAACTAAACCGGTATTATTGCAGTCTTACCCTGTACTGTACTTGGTTAGAAAAATTTTATGGGGGAGAGGGGTGACAACTCAGTAACCACTCATTTGTGGCGGAAATGAAGGTCAAATTCGAATGAATCGACCAAATACCAAGGGAGACACAAAAATTAATGGTCGAACAGTAGTTGGGGCTAAAACTGCAAATTTACCACAAAACCTAACCTAACCTATATCATAACTCGCGTATATCTACAACACGACCTTGCAAAGGACTGCCTACACGGTTTTATGCCGGGACGCTCCTGTTTAATGCAATCAAGGTAATTATTCGTTTCAGCACTCACTCAAATTTTTTCATGAGATGTTGGATTTATGATGTGCTTTGTTCAAAGCTGACCTTCGTTTTCATGGGAAATGCATTGTTTTTGATAGAAAGGTGCAAGTCCTTGATTAAAAATTGGCATTTTCCATGAAAAACGAAGATGGGATCTGAACAAAATGCATCCAAATACATCAGAAACTAAACATCTAGACCCCAAACTTTGACAAAATTAACCTGCTTTACCCTAACCTCACCTAACCCCTGCGCAGTGTGACAAGCCTCACGGCTCCAGACAGCTCTTGGTGGGACAAGAAATGGCGCGTGGAGATTTATTGATCTAATTTCTTAGGCATTCCTCATTTGTGCGATTTTTCTTTAAGAAACACGTTTCCAAGAGGCTTCAAGGGTTGAAAAATGTATAAATGAGGTAGAAATTGCTTAAAATAAGATGTGCTAAACCAAATAATAACCACAATTACTCAAGGTCCTCGATGTTTGGACTCAAATTCTTGAACAAGGCGGTAACATCGACAATGTATACTGTCCTTAGATTTTGCCAAGGCTTTTGACAGCGTGCCCCATGAAAGGCTGAGAATTAAACTGGAAGGGTACGGGATATGAGGAAATGTCCTACTGTGGATTGGACACTTTCTTCATGACCGCAAGCAGTGTGTGGTGATAATGGTATGAAATCATCATGTGCATCTGCTGACAAGCGGGTACCACAGGGCAGTGTATTGGGCCCGTTGTTATTTGTTTCATAAATGACATCTCAGAAGCTGTACACTCCCCCATACAAATGTTTGCAGACGACACCAAATTATTTAGGGAAATTAAGAACTGCAGAAAGATCTCTATGCGCTTCAAGAATGGTCGAAGAAATGGCTGATAGATTCAATCTCACGAAGTGCAAAAGGATGCACCTGGGTCACACCAACAGTAAGGAGGTGTATCACATGTCCGAACAGGACGAAGAGACTGCATTAATTGAGACCAAATGTGAAAAGGACCTAGGTGTGAATGTCGACAATGGATTTAAGTTCTTGGGCCATTGTGAGAAGGTGAATTATGCAAAGAAACTAGTAGGTCTTATGAGTTGGTCGTTCAGAGATCTGGATGGTCCGTCCCTCGTCACGATCTTCAAGAGTGAGGTGCTTCCCCATCTGGAGTACTGTCACCCTGTCTGGTCCTCGAGATATGCTAGAAACTGTCAATTGTTTATAAATGTCCAAAGGAGGGCCACCAGATTGGTGCCTGCTATGCAGCACCTCAGTTACCCAGAGACATTAGAGTGCCTGCAACTACCTAGCTTATACTACAGACTCGTAAAGTCAGGTCTTGAAATAGCCCACACTCAGTGCCGTCACAACACTCTCTGCCAGGTTGTTCCAAGAGTTCACAACAATGCTATTATGTTGGTTTTAATAAGTTTTAAGAATTTGTAGCCCCTTTTATAACTTTTTAATGTTATTAATCATAAATGTTACATTTAGGATGATTAAGCAATCATTTATACGCTCTTCCATCTCAAAAAATCACCATGAGACGGACAAATTTGAAAAACACAATCATTGATCAGTCAATCAGCCTCATCCTTTATGCTTAAAGGCAAAAACTAAGTTTAAGTTCATCTTAATGCACAAACTATTCTACTTTTACAGTTGAAAGTTTTAAAGAATTCATTTAAGTACATGGGAGAGAGATGGACAGTGGCAACTTGGCTCGCTTATCATCAGGATTTGACATGTGTGCAGCCCTATAGAAAAGCTTATTAACACTATTTTCACCAGTGTATAATAGTTCACATCCACGTATATACTGTATTGAACAATTACGGGGACATAACACAACCCTGCCCAACACCCACATGTACTGTATTTAAAATGTTTCACTTTATTTCCCATATACTCTCCCAGTTGTCCTGCTGTTTTTATAGAATGCTTTTACTACATTTAATAACCTCCCTCCCACCCCATACACTTGTAATGCCTCCCACAATGCTTTTTGTTCATCCTATCATATGCCTTTTCCAAATCTACTATATATCATTAAAGCCATCTGTAAGTAATAATAAACAAAAAGATTATTAAACCAAGTAAAAAGTTGTTTGGGTTAAACCATGGTTTAAACCATTTTCCAGACATGAGTAAAAAATAGTCACCAATATAAACAAATTGGCAAGTCAACAAGAATGTGTCCACAGTGTAAGCAGCAAATTTGTACTGTGCAGGTACTATAAACTGAGTGCTTAACACTGATTGGCCGAGTACATAAAACAAAGAACTGCTCTTTGTGTGTTGTGAGAGTTTGCAATTGTGACTTTTGACTACTTTTATGGGTTTTTTCCAATTCTCCAAGATGCAAGAAAGAGCGCTATAACGATATGGCGCTCTACAGGGTCACTCTAACTTCTTTATCTTTTTCTCTTTTTACGGGATTAGCCCACCAGGGCACAGGTCAATGACTCGCATGAGGGCCTGGGGGCGAAAATATAATAATAATAATAAATTATAAAAAAATATTAAATAAAAATATAATATAATAATAATAATAAAAATAAAGAACCATAAGTAAATAAAAAAAATTATTAGTGAGAATCAGTACAATATATGTACTGTATGTTGTGTTGTCAAAGTAAAAGAAACAACTGAAACCTTGCAATTGTGTGTAAATGGGGCAGAAAGTCAGATCAGCAACCTGGGACTTTGGTCACAATTTGTATGATGCCAAATGGCAACAGGGTCTACCATTAAATAACACATCATGCTTCGAATATCTTCCCAGGCAGTAATACCTCCCTGTTTTATAGCTGCCTCCTACCTACCACCTGGGGTATTACTGTACATGGTTCAATGATTCTTTGAAGTTAAAAATAAGTTTCAATCATTATCATTCCAGAAATATTGGACATGTACTGAACTGTATATGGTACATATATACAAACGTTTTAGGATTTCATATGAAGCCAATAGTCAATTATATTGGAATTGCTAGAAAAAGTGCAAAAGTGATGTGTGTAAACAATAGCCAAAAAGATTGAAAAAGTAATGTAATGTGGATTCGAAAACAAACTGTAGTCATTTGTTATAGAAGCTTTTGACATGACATGAAATTCCTCATGTCAACATGTATTGTACCACAGTTGACAGCTAGACATTTATTTTCTAATTTATCATTTCCACCAATTGTCAGCTTACTAGCTGTTCAGGTGGCTTGGTCTTTCTTGTGTACCATTATCAACCTAGTGTATGGGCACCCCTCTGTGCTGAATAAAATTGTCTGGCATTAGCCAAATTAAATATTAAAAGTGGCATCCCCATAGTGAAGAAGTTAATGCGAATTTCTAACATCTGACGTGGCCTTGGTCCCTCCCAAGGTTGCATAAAGGAAAAGGCTCAATCTCAAGATAAAGTTTATTATTGTAATATAAACAATATAAACAGTAGAGTACAGACATAACAGTTAGATTAACAATATGTCAAAGTTTTTTGGTTAAAAGCTTATAAGGCATTCTTATAAAAAATATATATATACAGTACTGTATTAGTATTATCATCTCCAGCTTCATCCACCCAGTAGTGAGAATGCACTAGTGACCAGTTGTGTATTGATCATATTGCATAACACCCATTATTATTATTATTATGGTACAGTATAAGCCACTTTTAATCATAACTTAAGCACCCATCATCACAATACTTCCCAATCTGAGGTTTCAGAACTTATTGAGAATGTCTGGCTTCTGTTAAAAAATCCATCTGGAGGCGAGTCCGACACCTGAAACACACTATGTTGGCAGATGTGTCCGTCACCATTCAGACCCCACAAACAGTTGTCTATTGTTACTGAAAATAAACAAATACAATATAAGTAATGGATTTATTATGCCAATGTTACAACTTAATGGTAAAGTCTGAGTACAGTACTCCCTTTAGTGCAAATATCAACTCAACAGCTTGGAAATTTAATCGGATGACTTAAGTTGTAGGTACTCCTCGGCTTATGACCTACTCGACTTACGACCACCCGGGCATACAACCACTGCAGTCGTATAAAATATTTTTCAAGTTATGTATTTTCGAGTCCCGGCGTTAGTGATCGCGCTGTGTACTGAAAATTTTTTCGTTTGTAATTCCCTTTAAAATGGCTGGCAAGCGTAAAAGTAAGACATCTCGTGGTGTTGAGAAGAAAAAGAGACACCCATTTTAGAGTTTCTATGTATTATTTTCGACTTACGACCTGGTCGTCGGTCCCTAACCCCGTTGTAAGTCGGGGACTTAATGTATATGAATGGGCCTATAAATATCAATCCTTAATGAAATATTTTTTTTTTTACTTAATCCTTTAAACAAATATAGCTGATACAAACATGCATGAACACACAAACAAATAAGAAGACACTTGAGTAGGCTCCCTCATTATGCTTGGAGGAAGGCATAAAAATATTGCTTATATGTAAACCAGAGAAACAGATTACATTGATGTAAAAATGGTTTGAATATAGTACAGTACTTACCTGAAATCTTGGCAATGTTTCCTGGAATTTTCTGCCATGCATCACCAATGTAATTTGTCTCGGTTACTCCAATACGTTTGAAAACTTCACCATTGGGAGTAAGAGCATAAACTTCATTTTCACTGAAAACAAAAGTAAAGCTTAAGTAGACAGTACTGTGTTGCGTGAAAAAAAAAAAATATATATATGTATATTTTGCATCATTCTACCTCACACATACATTTTATTCCCTTTCTGAATTGGAATGGTTTAAGAAATGGAGGATTGAGGTGTGGCCTCCCTTATCATGGCCAAGAAGAGAGGTGAATAACATGCTACTAATGGGCAAATAAATCCATTATGGGGAAAAAATTAATATTAAATTTTCTCCATAAAAAAATTTTTTTTTTTTTTTTACAACACTACCCCATCACTGTACAGTATACAGGTACTCCTCGGCTTACGACCTACTCGACTTACGACCACTCGGACATACGACCGCGCAGTCGTGTAAAGTATTTTTCAAATTACATATTTTCGAGTCCCGACGTTAGTGATCGCGCTGTGTACCGACAAATAATTTTTTGTAATTCCCTTTAAAATGGCTGGGAAGCGTAAAATTGGGAGTTCTCGTGGTGCTGAGAAGAAAAAGATACACCCATTTTAGATTTTCTATGTATTAGTTTTGCATTTTCGACTTACGACCCGGTCGTCGGTCCCTAACCCCGTTGTAAGTCGAGGAAAGACTGTATTGGAAAGCGTTACTATATGTCACCCTACAAGAATGTTCACAACAATATCACCGCATACTTCCCCCAATAATCTAGTCAACTGGCTCATCTGGACACCCATCCCCCCTATGGTTTAAATCATTGATGGTCTACTGTAAATATAAGGATATTAATGGGGAAACAATGTTGCTTTACACTGTACTGTACAGTGTGTCTGACCGACAACCAGATATGCGACAGCAGTTGACGACTAAGTGCTTCATTTACAATAAAAATCACCAGAAACTGATGAAAATTCTGACCGATTCTTCCAATTCTACGTCACTTCTGCCATACATATTCCTCCAGTACAGACTGTGGCAGCAGTTTACAAGAGGAGACTGGTAGGATATCATCACCCTGAGCAACAACCACCAGTCTTTTGTTGGTATAATACTGTACATTTTAATTTGGATTAAACTAATTAGTGTTCAATGTACAGTACTGCACAATTGTAATTAGTCAAAGTTTAGAATTACTGTTGCCCTAAAAAAGTTTAGAAAAGGTTTGTCATCACAAATCAGATATTTTTTTAGATAAATGTATCTCCCAATTTATAATGGTAGTCAAATGGAAAATCTGCTTCATTTTATGGATTTTCAATTCAGAGACAAATCTTCAGGACCACAGCCTTTCCACTGTTGAATGTTATGGCAAGTCTTTATATTGTATATATGACCATGTTTCTCAATGATGACATGTATGGATTAATATCACTCTCATTGTCATACACATGGTAATTATCATGAACAATAACCTGAGAACTGTACTCAAAATATAATTGACTTACCCAAAGTATATGGAACAGTACAATACAGTAATCCCTAAAATAGAAAACTACACAAATTTTACCTTATGGATAAGTGTAAAGCCAGAAGTCCATCCACAGGAACCCATGATAGTCCAATGGGTAGTTCAGGAAAGATGGCCTCTCTCACATACACGCAGCGACAGGAATCCACTGCCCAAACCACGTGTAGCTTCATCCCCACATAAACCTGCTGGTTATACAGTATTTATATAGCTATTATTCATACCAATGCATAGTTCTTTTTTCACTACAGGTACATAGCATTCAAAATAGAAAATGGAAAGATAAATATGAGCAACCTATTTCAGCTGGCAACCTTCTTGGCTATAAGCACTACTGCAAGTTAACATTTGTTTGGTAATGAAATGGATCCCACAGCCTGGGGATGGGCAACTGAAAACAACTCACTGCTCCCAATACCTAATGTACCGGATTATAAGAAAATAATGGAAGGGAAGAGAATGGTGAACGGGCACTGTGGATAAATACAGAGGAGCACGTGGATTCAGAACTCTCTCATGCATCATCATACTGAGCTAAGTTAATATTCATTAAGGTAACAAACAATGGAAGAACTTTGTTTCGCTATGTAACACTCAACAAGTCACCCCACTTAGTTATGATTGGAGCAACAAGCTAAAAATAAAAAATATATATAAATTATTATCTACAGGTAGAATGCCTGAACATGTAATATAATCTATAATGAAAATGAAATATTAAGATAATTTACAACAAAACTCACCTTTCACCACAAATTATAAACAATGGTTCTTGTCTCAATTCCCAGCCAGACAGGAATTGGTGTTTTATCCTTGTAAAGTACAGTACTACATTAACCCTTGTACTGTACAACCAAACAAACACACCAATAAATGAAATACACTTCTGGGTGCATTTACTGATAGTGGAACAATCTCTCAGCTGCTACATGCAAAGTATCACACGAGCAGCACCTGCATCCTAACAAATACGGTAAATACTCGACAGGAATTTTTTTATATACTGTACGGTACTGCACCTTAGTGAACACAGCATTTCCCTTGAGAGAAACGGGATCTACTTGAATCCAAGCTGGTGGAAGTGATTCATTTGATGAAGGAGTAAGGGGCCCTTGTCGCATGTAGACACCCCCTCGGGTATCCACTCCCCACACAACCTCCATCCCACACGATATATGGCACAGGTGTACGTCTCCTACAAAAGCGAAGTCATAAACAGTAACTATAATTAAGTAAATATTAATGGAAATATTAGAGAATGTGAACAACAGATATGTGATGAAAATAATGTAAGCAGGGAGACAAAAAATGGAAAAGTGAAATGCATCCAAAATGTGGGATGATAGGTTTACAGGGATGGAGCCCTTTTATAAATTGTGGCACACCTGTACTGTACTTTATATATACACCATGGGTGGTTGAAAAAAAAAAAGAGGAACTGTGTTTTTTCACCTCAAATGATCTCGCTCAGCTTAAAATTACACAAGAAAACAAAACTAAAATTGTTGGTAATGCAGTCAGTCAGTCAGAAATGTATCTCTCACCACAACAGCCATCACAAAATACATACCAATTTGGTTCAAGTCAAGTTGTTCCCAATGTGATCCATGGAGGGACTTTGCAGACAGTCCCACCCTGATGAAGATATTCCCAGCTGCTGTCAGAACCCACATAGCCTCTGGGCGCTGACTCACACTCACCACACATTCATTTTTCGGTAAATCAAAAGGCTGAAAATAATTACAGTACCAAAATGTTGAAAAGGTAAAGAAACTTGAACTGCTACTTTTGGCATGACCATTTTGGGCCCAGGCTTCTTTAGGGAAATATATGAAGAATGTCATAAATTTTAGCTTCCCTGAAAAACCTAAATTACTGATATCTTGACCCTAAGATGCTAAACCTTCCCTTAAAGAGTTAAGAATACACAAGAAGGATTAATCTTAGTCATGTTTTCTAGAAGATTCCACAGTCTTGGCTGTCACTACAGGCTGATCTCTCTTATCCAGCAACCTTGGCACTGCCATGGTAGAAGTTCCCATTGAAGAGAAGATCACTAATTAATGGCACATTAGCCTAAGCTACACTTGGCCTAATGCTCTGTAAGGTTATGGATTTCTTTGTACAGTACGTACAGTAAATATTTGACTCATCATAGTGAATAAATTTAACAAATAAATGAGCAATGTGACAACAGCATTTAATGAATGTATAGTAAATTAAATAATAAATAGAAAATACTGTAGTACAATGTATGTACATTTCAGTGTTCATACATCCCAGGCCTCCCTCTCTCTTAGTTAGGCACTTGTAATTCTAACACTCATGAACCTATGGCCCCAAACAATTTGTGTTATTCTTACAGTCTTGCCTCTCAAAATAAAATTTATCTCACAGAAACACTTAATAGATCAATTAAGATTACCTGGTAAATGCAATACTGTACACAGGAAAGATATGTCGATAATATCCCTTTGATGGCCACATTTTTATAAATCTATGGGAATAAGAATGAGAAAAATACAGTACAGTATAGGCTGAATTTACGCGGTTTTTGTTTACGCGTTTGGTCATTTACGCGGTGCCTTGCCAGAATGAAATGTTTTAATTACGCGGTAAATTTCATCATTTACGCGGAGAGCGGCTGGAGAGGTGCAGACGCGCCGTGCCATTTTTTACTCACGCGGTCCATTCTTGACCATACGCGGGAAGCGGCGCGGTGATGGGTGCGCATTAGGTTGCTCTTACGTTATCGCTGACGTCAGATGACTTATCGGACTGTGATTGGGCCACGCATCCTTACCACCCACGCATTCCCTCCGCCGCTAGCTGTGATTGGTCTAATGTAACATGACGTGCCCTGCCACCAGAAGTCGCTGACCTAGCCGGGCCAGTCTCATTGTTCTCAGTCCGTGTATACAGTTCTCTCTTGTGCCCGCTATTCCCCTCACAATGGCTTCCGCTGGACCCCCACCACCCGAGAAAAACATTGAATTACCTGGACCAAGCCATGATAATGTGAAGGAAATCATCGAGTTGGGGGAGAAACTTAAGCTCATCCTTGACAACGACCCAGACAAGCATCGGTATGAAGTGTATAATAACCATCTGACGAAAGTTATGGAGCCGTATATCCAGATCTATCTCGACAACATCAATGCTAGTCGTCAACGTAGTATTAAAGACTTCTTCGCCCGCAACCAACCACAGCCAGCCCAAGTCAGTGATAGTGACAGTGAGGATATGGACTTTGAGGAGTTTGTCTGGGAGGCCCTGCAAACCTCTGCGAGTAGTGAAAGTGATTCACCGGAGGACAACTAATCTGCCCTCTGCCTCGGAACCAGCCGCCATCCACGTGTGCCGACCCATACCGCCATAAAATTAAGATGTTATTTTTACTACAACGTACGTATTGTGTCGGAAAAAGTGGAGTTTGGGGGTCGGCCCAGTCTCTATTTCAATTAATCCCATATGTTCTGTTATTTCGTTAACGCGTTTCTCGTTTTACGCGGACCTCCACGGGTTCAATTGACTGCGTAAATGCAGACTATACTGTAGTTTATTCACATTGCTAACCAAGTGTGTAAACATCATAATGCTTGAGAAAGAGCCATTACATAAATGCAACAGTACTGTCTTATGTAGAGAAGAGATATTAAAGTATAAAAAAAAGTACAAATAAAACAGTGACGCTCACCACAGAACAGGCGGTGTTGGGGTTAACGACAAACAGTTGTCCGAGGGGTGAGAGGCAACAGATGGCTCCCTGGTCTGTGTATAAAGCTTCTGCACAAACAGTGGACCAAACTTCTTCACTGAACACAGTCCAAACATGACCTGAACAACCAAGCAGGAGAAGGAATATACAGTACATTTCTACAGGTTTCATAAATTTCAAAATATTAATCACTGAGTTCAGTATTGGTCACTCAGAGCACTGTAAACTCAAGTCTTAAAATGCTAATACTGTACTGTACTGAACATCCACTTCTTTTGTTTATTAATAGCCAAATGAAACACTGTAAACTACAAGTTAAGCTTTAAACAATCTATTATACTGACTGACCTGTACAATTGGCTTCATGGAAAGAGTAGCGGTTTGATTCTTGTTCAGCTAACCAGATCCCTCTTGATGATGAAGCGAGCATGACACTGCTGCCTTCCTCTGTTACAAAGTCCATCATGTAGTCACTAGTAACCACCTAAACACAAATGACAATTAGACCTGTGCAGATATAAGATCTATACAGCAATTTGTAAGATTTGGGAATAAAGATTTTAGTTTAATGATTCTTTTTCTATGGAAGGTACTGACCGTACAAAGCGTTCTCTCGCTGGCTAGTGGTGAGAGCAGCATATGGGCAAGAAAAAAGTTACCATTACAGCACTGGATGGCTGCCATCATCAGTGGCAGTGATGTACAGTATCATGTTCTTTGTGTTTGTGTTCCACTTTTGTGCAAATGAGGCAGAGTAGGAGATCCTTAGCTGCCAGTTAAGGGTTAATATCTAACATTTAAAAACCAGAATTCTCAAGAAATCAGAATTTTCAAGGACCCCAAATAAAATAAAATTTCAGGAAATCATGTATGCACCACGAGTAAGTTAAAATACTTTTGAGTGTTTAACATCACAATACAGTCAACCCTCATTTTACGCGGTCCCACATTCCGCGTTTCCACGTTTACGCTGTGCCCTGCCAGAACCCAGGATGCTCACATTCCGCGGTGGGTGTACCCCTTTACACGGTGAAGTATAATTTTTTTATTTAGCTCATAAAATTCATACAAATTATCCGGCCAGAATATAATTTACATTGCTGGAATTCTTACAATTTGATGATCATTTTGAATATAAACATCATAGATTTTGCATTAGACATACAAATTTTAGATATAATGTTTACTCTTGAGTAAATATGTTATCTTTTGTGCAAAATATATGACATTTATATTCAAAATATTCCTGGTCTTACAAGGAATCCAGCAATGTCAATTATATTATCCTAACTTTAGTCTGATTTATTATTTATTACTAAAAAGGTAAACAGTCTGGTATTCCCACACATTTATCTAGTAGGGACGGTTGGTGGGGGGGAGGGAGGGACCGGCCATCTGTTACCGTGTGAAGAATATTATTTTTTTTTATTAACTGAAGATTTTTATTTTAGCTCATAAAATTCATACAAATTACCCGGCCAGAATATAATTTACATTGCTGGAATTCTTACAATTTGATGATCATTTTGAATATAAACATCATATTTTGCATTAGACATAAAATTTTTAGATATAATGTTTACTCTGAGTAAATATGTTATCTTTTGTGAAAAATATATGACATTTATATTCAAAATATTCCTGGTCTTACAAGGAATCCAGCAATGTCAATTATATTATCCTAACTTTAGTTTGAGGTATTATTTATTACTATACCTGGTTTTCCCCCCAAAATTTCTCAGAGGGAAGAGCCAGCAGTGTAGTGTGAGAAGAGGGGGAGGGAGTCGAGTCCATTATTTGAATGGACATTAACTTGGCGACTGTATTTCTCTATTTCTCTTAAGTATTAATTGTGTGCATGTACCATCATAAAATTAAGATGTTATTTTTACTAGAACATAGGTATTGTGTTGGAAAAAGTGGAGTTTGGGGGTCAGCTGGTCTCTATTTCATTTAATCCCATATGTTATGTTATTCACTTTACGCATTTCTCACTTTCATTGGTACCCTGTGGGTTACATTAACCGGGTAAAGTGAGGGTTGACTGTACTATTAATAAAGCTGATCAAGGACATCCGCCTTTCATTACATGATAAATTGTCCCACTCACCTGCCACCATTTTGAATCGCTTCCCTGTGGGTACTTGGCGCAAACTCCAAGTCGAAAGTAAACTCTACCTTTGGCATCCACTATCCACCCTTTCTGCCCAGGCCCCAGTGCCATAGTCAACAAAGGACCTCCAGGTGTGTCCATTACTCCCCAGTCATGACCAAAGGGTGATTGGGCAGTTACTCCCACTCTGTACAAGGTAGAAACACAACACCGCTGCTGAGTCACCAACAATCATAATACATCTTGCAAAATATAAATGAACTAATTTTTATATATGACAGCTGCCAGTGGGAGATACTAAAGGTTTACTGCCTAGACCTGCCTAGACTGTGGGGACCTGTAGTCTGGATATACTGTACCTGTATATACTGTACAAGCATCTCTGGTTCACATACAAGTTCCGTTCTAGAAACAACTTGGATGTAAACTGATCCTTTATAATCAAGAGATGCCTTTATTTAACAAATTCTCATTATCGTGTCTTTGAGAGCTTCCTATTGCAGAGTACAGTACTGGCCACACCGGGTTTACACAAGGGTCCTGTTACAGAAAACTTTCCCTAAACTGATCTTTCATAAACCTGACAGACTGTGGTCAGTACTGTGGCTTGATAAATCTGGTAATGCCATGTCAGTTGGGCACCATTTGTGTTGTCTACGACCCGAGACCAACTGAATCTGGGTACTCTACGACCTGACACGATAACCACCATCCCACCGTGACCCAAGCCAAGTCCCATTATTAGTGCTTCATTTACTGGTGCACTCAACAGAACATCACAGTCATTTCAGTGATTGTGTGTTGCAGTTTCTCTTTGCCATCATGTCAAAATGCTCTACAGGGATCTCTCTGGGCAATGGTGCTAAGAGAGAACACATTTCCTTTTCTTTAGGAAAAAAAAATTAAGTGTTACAAAAACTTGAAGGAGGCACATCATTCTGTTTATAAATAATTAGTTCATCTATACAGGTATTTGTAAGTTATATGGTGACTGTAAGAGAAAGATGACACAAACAATTATTTGTAGGCTTACCATTGTGTTAGAGACTAATACATTAAGTTAGTGAAATAAGCAAACTATTGGTAGTAAAATTGACAGACATCACACGAGCATATTTTCATTATTACTGTACAGTACAGTACCATACTTGGAAAAATTATGGAAATAGAGAAACAATTGTAAGTTCAGTAGTTTTTGTAACTTAAAATTTTTGTAAACCGAAACTTTATAAATAAGGGAATCTTGTAATTAAACAAGGCATACAATCACAGCAGTTTTGTTTTCTAATTGTAGTGTGCCAACTTCACACCAAAACCTAACCCAAATGAGTCTTATCATCATATGTGTTAATCAATAATAATAATAATATGAAAACATTAAGCTTGAACAAACCTGAAAACTAGTTGACCAGATTCAGTAAGGCCCCAGACCACCTGGCTATGACAAACCACCTTTGCCATCTGAAACTCTTGGCAGTGTACAATGTGTGGGCTTTTGTGTCTTAAACTTGGCTGTACACACACCTGTCAAAACATTAACCATTATGGGGGCCTCCACATGGTGAAATATTAGTATGGATTTTAAAACATCAATAAGGCAGTGTACTACAGTGCATTTAAAGGCTAACATTAAGTATCTCACCCATAAACACATTTCAGAGTAAGTCAGTCCATAATCTTGGAGTAAGTCAGTCCATAATCTTGGAGTAAGTCAGCCCTTATCTTAGAGTAAGTCAGTCCATAATCTTGGAGTAAGTCAGCCCTTATCTAAGAGTAAGTCAGTCCACAATCTAAAGAGTAAGTCAGTCCACAATCTAAAGAGTAAGTCAGTCCACAATCTAAAGAGTAAGTCAGTCCACAATCTAAAGAGTAAGTCAGTCCATAATCTAAAGAGTAAGTCAGTCCATAATCTTGGAGTAAGTCAGTCCTTAATCTTAGAGTAAGTCAGTCCATAATCTTGGAGTAAGTCAGTCCATAATCTTGGAGTAAGTCAGTCCACAATCTAAAGAGTAAGTCAGTCCATAATCTAAAGAGTAAGTCAGTCCATAATCTTAAAGTAAGTCAGTCCTTAATCTTGGAGTAAGTCAGTCCACAATCTAAAGAGTAAGTCAGTCCATAATCTTAAAGTAAGTCAGTCCAAAAACATTACCTAACAAAATAGTCCATAACCTTGCTTCACAAAACAGTACACAAGATTCATACACATCTCTTATTCTCTTGTCAATAATCAAGAAAATAAAAAAGCTATCACTCACAGTTAAAGATAATAAAATGTTGCTTTAAATTTAACTATATCCACTGAGCTTGTTCTACTGAGGCACATAAGGAGAACAATCACGGGACTAAAAATTAAAATTATAAATTAGAGATGAGGAGCTGATGAAAGACAGAAATTAAAACAGTGAGTGTGATATTAAGTAAACATTCAATATATTGTACATTAAATTCTTGATTTATGTTTGAAGCAGCAAGGTCATGCCGCCAGCTGAAGAGTCTTCTTAAGGCATTTATGTCTGGCCAGTCAGGCCATAGTGAGTGATATTCTCTGTGATTATTTTTGTGCCAGTCTCAGTGAAGTTTTTTTTTTGCCAGTCTTTCAAAAAACTCCTAACTATGAGTGTAAAATATCCTGCAAGTGCTATCACTTTGGATGTTAAAACAGATGTCATTCAGGTCTTTTATGAATGCCCTGTGCGTTAACCCCCATCACAAGCACACGCCACTTCTCCAACATCAAGCACAGTAACAAATGACTGTGGCCTGACCTTCTCCCAGTAACCCCTCCACTACCGACCAGCACATCTTCCATCTTAGACACACAATCTAGGTTTTATTTTGGTGTGTACCCAAGTACTGTACCTGTGTTCATTTAATGGTCTATTTATACATTTCATTTGTGTTTTGTATTTATTCCTTTAATTTTTATCTTTAATATCTAGTTAAGTGAGGCTAATAGTAAGTTAAGGTGTCTGAAATTTTGCCCATGGACACATTCTCCAATTATAACACAGTGTACAACAAACACATACTATATGAGAAGAGATGTGGCAGCCAAGGAAGAGGTGCAAGAAACAAAAGACTAATAAGATGGAATGAGGTAATAACAATGAGGTTCAATAAGAAAAGAGGACATCAAGTGATAAAATAACAAGGATGAACCATTTAAGACCAAGGGAGGAATCCAGCAACCTGTGAGAATATTACCTACACAGTATGAATAGTTATGCAGAATAAGAAACCCGAGATACTGTACTGTACTTGCGGCAATGTAAGAGCAAGAAAGAAAGTGTATAGAGTTGTGAGATAAATGGCAGCAGGGTAGTGAGAAAGACCAAGATGGATGAGGGAGCTGCAGCAGTAGGTGTGGGGGAGAACACATTTAGGAAACAGCACTGCACATGACTGAGTAGTGGTACTGTATGGTTAAGTGGATGTCATGACAGTAAGGATAAATATATGCACCTTATCTTATCCTTTAGCACATCAGGAAAAGGGTTACAATATTGACCAAAAAGAATAAGAAACATAAATTTTCAACTTACTCCATGTGATAAAAATGTCAGTAGGATTGGGATATATCATTCAAACATTTCAAATTCTTTACAAGATATACTTTATCACTTATGGCTGAGAATTGGAAGCAATAATGAAGTCAGTGAGGAGCATGTGTTGGGCACAGTGAGGGACTCCTGGTGTAAGGGCCTGGGGGTTATGGGGAAATATTCTGTGTCAGTCAATTAGTCATCCAGTAAGGAAAGGTATTCATCGGGATTCTTGATGCAGCCAATATTTTTTTCATCCTTACTTGCTTTAGCTGACTGATGTACCAAGTCACCTCTTCATCCACACACATCTGCCGAACATCCCGTGCTATGGGTATCATTCTGCATGTTGAAAATGTCTCCAGTTTTGGATTACTAATGGCATACACATTTCTTCCAAATTCTATCCACAAAATGTTACCACTTGGTGAATAAGAAATTTGTGATGCCTTTGCTGTCAACTTAACTTTTTTCCAAGCTTTATTTTCTGAAGCAGCATCCTTAAAGAAAAGGCAACTCCGATTATCCACAAATACAACACTATTTTCCGAAACGGTTAAACTCACAACGTTACTAGGCAGTTTATGTCGTAACCAGCCACCGGTCATTTCTTCCTTATCGTACTCGTAGCATTCCTGTACATCTGAGGCAGAGTACGACCAACTAATGTCCGCTACTTCAGATGAGTCCGTGACTGTTAACACGTTTCTTGACTCGCCTACACTTTGGTCGTGTCCTTCGCCCTGTGGTCTGTTTCCGAGGGATAAAAGACTACTTCCCGAGGGTGGACCATAACTCAAACAACTAAGTCTGTCTTCACTTACATTACTTTCTAAATGTTCATCTCCATCATCTCTCATAAGGGTTGGATCACCAATATTAATTTTGGTGGCACCTTCTACTCCGTGGTGACCGTGAGCATCGGTGCCGCTGTCTACTGAACTAAAGCTGTTATTGCCGGGGTAAAACTGTGCATAGAAATCACTACAGCTTGAACTATCTGGAGCAGGACTCAACTCTTTTAAGGTACTTGGAGTGGAACAACTGGTGCTGTCAAAGCTGTGTTCTCTTTCTAGTTGTGGAGGCTCTTCATATCCTCCAGTACTACTAGTTTCCTCTTCACTTGCTATAACTTCATGGTCCATCTTGAGACAACCAAGATCAAGGATGTCTGCCAAGAGGCTCTCCTTCTGTTGTATGTCATTCTTGAAATCATCGTATGTTCTAGTGTCAACAACGCTCTTAAACCCTATACTGGCAGTGGAATAATTTTCTTCACTTTCTTCAGTATTTGGTTTTTCACATCTACCTGTTCCAGGAGTATAATCACTTTCTTCTTGATTTTGATCCACTAGCATTTTAATATTTTCATCTAGGGGCTGAAGGCTCTGTGAAGAGTTTGTACTAGGAGACAAAGAGAAATCTGTAGAAAGCTGAGTTTGACCCATTGATGGACTTGATGGTGTTCCTCCACTGGGCGTATCACTCATTTCTGAAGTAGATTTGAAGCTGCTGACACTCACGGAGTCTGGCGAAGGAACAGCATCTGAGGAGAAACATAGAAAAATTATACTTAGTCCATCTTATCTGGAAGTCATGAATGGTAATACTATAGCTACACTAAAGGTGGTAAGTTTGATGGGAATATATTTGACAAATGAGGGAGTGATCCTGAAATCCCAACATAGCCGAACTTGGATTGGGTGACTCCTATATGGTGAACCTTGAGTTGCCAGGTACCTGAATAGTGACTAGATCTAATCGGTAAATGAATCTATACCTTCTTGTCATCTATAGATGCCTGACAAGAAACTCAATGGAAACAGAAACTACAAATGAAGACTGTGTCTAACATTAGCATTCTGCAGCCCTCACTTGACTTGGCTACAAATGCCATTCCCAGTCAATCTCCTTGGCTTCAACTCCCCTCAAAGCCCTAATAAAGAGGAGAGAAAGAACCAGAATCTTCCAATCTAGGCTTGGGTATAAAATGAGATTTCTGGATCACTCCCTCATTCATAGGCTGATGCCTGGCTCTGGTGACACATACTGTAGTACAGTACTGTATATGTAAAGCAAGCTAGGGAAGGAGGGGGAGAAAGGTGGCAATAAGTGCTACAGTAACTTACACCCTAAAGGACAGTAAACCACTACAATAACAGTAGGAGGAAAAAACTAACCCGGGTCACAGTGTCCTACAGAGCAGCTTGTTCACCCACAGTTTTTGGCTAATGAAGACTTAGCTGATAACCAGGCCTTTCTCTGTAGGAAGGACTTGGGGGACACACTGCACAGGAAGGCTAAATATGCAATACTGTACCCCTAATCATGTGCCATAATGCAGCAAAATGCCACTATATATAACAATAAACAGCAGCATTATGTTAGTCTTATTTGACTGATAAAACCTAGAATTTTTCTATTCCCTGGCAACAAACCTTAAAGTGACATAGCAGGATTCAACAATTAGCTTTTGTAATAAATAAGGATACCAAGGGTGGATCAGGCTGAAGCATCTACTCTTGGTGACTGCCAACTGGAAAGTGGAAATTTGCAAAGGCAATTTGATCTGGAGAGATGAAGGAGCTGTAGCTGTAGGCATGACTAGAATACTTCAAGTATCTCTCAGGAAAGCCTTGCATGTGATCTCCTATAATGGAAGCAAAGGATGCCAAGATTGAGCAATTGATCTAATTTAATTATTAGCTCTGCTGCCAACTGAAGAAGTGGTCGTACAACCTGGAATTTCAAACAAAGCAAGTACAGTTTAGTATTAAGAGGTGCTTGGCAAAAGAGTATGCCAGAAATTGTTAAATATTTCTGGAATAACAACTCACCCATTTTTTTTCTTGCTCTCTTCCTTGACTTATCTCTCATCACTATTGGCTCAGACTCTTCACCTTCTTGAGCAACAATCTCGGAACTTGTTACAATTTTTTCCAAATCTCCAACAACTTCCAGTTCACCCTGAAAAACCTTCATTAATGAGCATCAAAGTGCTATTATTTGAAGCTAAAACTACCTTGATAAATGAAAATTGAATATGCAAATTAAAAATATAATTGACAGTGTAAGCTGTGGAAATACAGTAAAGTAATCACTTCAGGATGAACTATAAAATAAAATGAAGACATTAAAAGGCAAAGAGGAGACAGTAAAAATGGCTTGGATGTAAGGAAAGAGAGAGAGGGGTATAAAATATAAGCTTTTTATACCACACAAGCAATCTATTGTGCATGAAACATCCTTCCCCCTGCTATCACCTTTACACCTGGGGTTTTGTGCCACCTGACTCATACAGATCAGCCTACTCACTTCTTAATCGATATTAAAATCATTGCGTCTCATTGCTTTCCTCTTAACATTTTGTGTACAGGCTTCCCTCTCGAGCTGAATAAAATTGTCTGGTGATAACCAAATAAAATATTAAAAGAGGCATCCATACAGTGAAAGGGTTAAGGGTTCCCTTTCTAAACCCTTGGTATTCACTTCAACTCTATGCCACTAAAAACTTTTGGATATCCAGTAAGTACCTCAATGCAAAAGAAGTCTAGAAAAAATTTATTTCATACTTACTGTAATGTGTACATCTTGTAAAGAGGGTGTTTTTCCTAGTGTTGAGATGAGTAGTGGAGAAGACAACAAGGAGGGAAAGAAACTGCCAACAGACTGTACCATTCTGGGATGTACCGAGGGTGAGGAAAGTGAACCACTCTCTTGTATCAGTCCTGACGATGATGATCTCTTATGGCCTTGTTTCTCTCCTTCAGTGGCAGCTGCAAGTGGATAACCAGGGAGTTGTGCCGTGTGCAGTGATGGACCGTCCATGGGGCTGCTCTTACTAATATCCTGTTTTTTACGATTCTTTATTTCCTGCCCCGTTATTATGGATGAGTTAGCATGTTCTGACACTCTGGCAGCGACAGAGCTACTCACACGGGCAATTTGTCCAATCAGTCCAGATCCTTTTATCACTATGCGAGCACCAATGTCAAGTAGATTTTGAGTTTCAGGAAAGGGAGTATTTCTTGCAGCAGAGGGAGATATATTCCCCCCAATATTAATGGGTTGAATACTAAGACAAGAAACATTTCTGGATCCTTCCAACACAAATATTTCCTGGTCTGACACGGCTAATCCAGTAATGTGACGAAACTGTCCACTAAAAGTTAATACTTTCAAGCTGTTTACATCTATGATAAAAAGCCAATGAGGATTATAAGAAACAATATGAGAGAGACCAAGCATGTGTAACAGTCCAAAGGAAAACTTTTCACCTTCTCTTGGCTTCTCAAAACTGGGATTCAACAAGTGTGCTTTTGTCGTCTCTGGTAATTCTTTAATTATGTGAGTGTGCAAAACTTCTCCCTCACTAGTTGAAGACCAGAGTCTCAGTCCAGGCCTAGATGTGAAAAGAACAGCATCAGAATGGGACATTGAGGGGGACCACGTGCAGCCGAATAAGCCGAGGTATTTACGAGGCTTCTGACCAACCTGCTGGGCACTGTTCTGAGTCAGACTGTACACAAGAGTTCTCTCTAGCGTTGATACTGCTAGGTGCTGACAGTTGTAAGAGAGCTGTGTAATGCTACTTGTCTCCCTCATAAGTTTTTTTGCTGTGCATTCACTTGTCTGGTAATTAATTTCCACTACTGAGACCACACCATCAGCATCTCCTGAGAAGAGCCGCATACCGTTACGACTCCAGGTCATGCTAGTTATTCTGCCGTTGTGAACATTTCCCACCGTGAAGCGTTTAACAGTAGGTTGTACTCCTGTGATGCCCTTTGACCTGAGGATATTTGTATCTGAAATCAAGAAAATTTAAAATAAGATCAAACATAAACAAATACCACCTACAGTACTGGTTTATTGTACAGAAATACATTCTTACAGCTTCAGGTTGTAGTGGACCTTTTTCAAACATGGCAGATTTATCCTAAACTCCCTTTTTTGATTGAAGACTTGCAAATAGTTCATAATACAGTACAGTAGTTACACTGAGTGCCATCTTGCCATGCTTCCTGAGTACTGTGGCAGTGCTACTACATTGTTATGTTTCTAACCATATACAGTACTGTACGTACCAGCCTATTAATTACCAAAGGAGAAAAAGCTCATCACCAATGTGAATACAGTTTTACCCCGCCTAACGCGGTTTCACTTAACGCGTTTTCGCATATACGCGGTGCCTTGCCAAAGCTGAACTATCACTTAACGCGGATTTTTTCCACATATACACGGTGAGTGTCCGAGACGCTATTTTTAGATTTGCCCCACCCACCACCCTGCCTGACTGCCTGTTTTAGCTCATAAAATTCATACAAATTACCAGGCCAGAATATAATTTACATTGCTGGAATTCTTATAATTTGGTGATCATTTTGAATATAAACATCATATATTTTGCTTTAAACTTACAATTTTTAGATAAAATTTTTTCTCTAGGTAACTATGGTATCTTTTGTGCAAAATATATGACATTTATATTCAAAATATTCCTGGTCTTACAAGGAATCCAGCAATGTCAATTATATTATCCTAACTTTAGTTTGAGGTATTATTTATTAAAATGTAGTGGTTATCCCACACATCTCCTTGGGACGGTTGGTGGGGGGGAGGGAGGGACCGACCGACCATCTGTTACCCTGTGAAGAATTATTATTTTTTTTTATTAACTGAAGATATTTGTTTTAGCTCATAAAATTCATACAAATTACCCGGTCAGAATATAATTTACATTGCTGGAATTCTTATAATTTGGTGATCATTTTGAATATAAACATCATAGATTTTGCTTTAAACTTACAATTTTTAGATAAAAATTTTTCTCTAGGTAACTATGGTATCTTTTGTGCAAAATATATGACATTTATATTCAAAATATTCCTGGTCTTACAAGGAATCCAGCAATGTCAATTATATTATCCTAACTTTAATCTGAGGTATTATTTAATACTAAATGTTAAAAACTCTGGAAGGGAGGATTGGTGGGGGGTGGGGGGGAGGGTTGGGACTGACCGCGCGGTTGGAAGAGGGGGGGAGGCAAGGTGGGGTACTTTGATTGACAGATAGTGTCGTGAAGATTATTATTTTTTTATTAACTGAAGATATTTGTTTTAGCTCATAAAATTCATACAAATTACCCGGTCAGAATATAATTTACATTGCTGGAATTCTTATAATTTGGTGATCATTTTGAATATAAACATCATATATTTTGCTTTAAACTTACAATTTTTAGATAAAAATTTTTCTCTAGGTAACTATGTTATCTTTTGTGCAAAATATATGACATTTATATTCAAAATATTCCTGGTCTTACAAGGAATCCAGCAATGTCAATTATATTTTCCTAACTTTAGTTTGAGGTTATCCCACACATCTCCTTGGGACGGTTGGTGGGGGGTGGGGGGGGAGGGAGGGACCGACCGACCATCTGTTAGCCGGCTGTGTAGTGTGAGAGGGGGAGGGAGTTGAGTCCATTATTTGAATGGACATTAACTTGGCGACTGTATTTCTCTATTTCTCTTAAGTATTAATTGTGTGCATGTACCATCATAAAATTAAGATGTTATTTTTACTACAACATAGGTATGTGCCTTCAAAAAGTGGAGTTTGGGGGTCGGGCCGGTTTCTATTGGAATTAATCCCATATGTTCTGTTGTTCACTTAACGCGGATTTCACTTAACGCGGGACCCTCTGGGTTCAATTGACCGCGTTAAGTGGGGTACAACTGTACTGCTATTCACATCATCCTGACATGACAGTTTTCAATCATAAATCAATCGTGAAAAAAAAAATCAGAAAAGAAGCAGCCTTCAAGGTTAGTTGGGCCTTAAGGAGCCAAGGTAAGTGACAATTTTGGCATATAACGTGAAGTTTAACTTTCGTTAACATTAGTGTATTGTCATGTCACTCAGCACTTCAGACGCTCATGGGCAGAGTTGCCAAGGTCACATCTGTCAAGTCCAATTGACCTATAGTTCTGGGATGGATCCACAGGATATTTTGGGGAGTCACAGGTAGCAGGTTTTAAACCTACAGTATTTTGATATGGGTGCATATTTTTTGGTTATTTTAAGGAGCTGATTAATACAATTAAAAAATTAACCCAAACAGGGAACAATAATGATAAAACTATCACTTACATATACTGTACAATACAGTACTGTAGTATTACTGATGGAACATACTGAAACATAGCACACCAGGTCTTCCTGCCTCTAGTGACCTGTCTGGTGACCTCAGTCAATACTTCTGACCTTCCCCCATTCCCCCTGCCTACCTGAAAATTTCTTTGATCCACAGTGACATATCAGTCTTACCCAACAGAGGTTAATCTATGCTTCATGATCTCTCTATCATCCAACAAATTTAAAAATTCATGCATATTCTCCTAGGAAAAACATTTTTTTTCGAATTTCATTACTTTTCCTTGCATAAGAAGCATCGGGTACAGCACTTACTTGGTGAGGATGATGGTTGAAAAGCCTCGTCAATGTTGGCAACCCGGGGAAGTTGGAAAACTGTTATGGTACCATCTACGGTTCCTGCAGCAATCATGTCATCCACAGTTCTCACACTCGCTACACTTGATACTGCTGATAAAGGGTTCTGAAAATTATCAGTAACTTAGATGACAATACTGTACAGGTAGTACAATATTACATATAAATGTTTATATACCATACAATGATGACAATGAACATATTATAAGTAACAGAAATTGAAAACAAACACAGATAAGAGGAAGGTTTAGCTAAAACAGATGATATACTATATAACTAATGAACATGTTCATTTTTCACTAAACCATCCATATTAAAATGCTTCCTAAAAGCAATCAATCACTTCAACCACTGGAAGGAGGTCGAGTTTAAACAATGTCATATTTTCCTAAGCTTCCTACCTCACACTTGAGTCTCATGAGGTTGATTGAAGGTAAGTGAGCCAAATATACAAGGCCCACATTGGTGCCCATGACCAAGTGCTGTGGTATAGTGGCAAGGCAAGTCAACTGTAGGTCAGCAGCACCAAGGCCTCGCTGGAACTGTTGTGGTAACTGGTCCAGTAAGCTGTTTAGTGGCAGCCACTCGGTCCACACAGGATTCTCCTCTGAATCCATTTTGTCTCCTACTGAAAAAAGTAAATGTAACCTTATAATTTAAATTTTCGGTAATTATTTACGACTTCACAGCAGCTGATTTTTCATAGAAACGAATTTTAAAATGCATCAATTTCACTGTTTTAGAGTGAACACTGTCGTAGTTATGGCAAATGTGTTAAAAAGTATTTATTTAAAAGTTCAAGTTAAGTTAAGTTAATCTAATCTAATCTAACCTAACCAAACCAACCTTAATCTAAAATAAGCTAACACTTGCCGTGGGTGAACTTGTAGTGGATTCCTCCCCTACAAATACTGTTTGTCGCTGAGTAGCCGACCCCGCGAATTCCCCAGTGTATGCCTCGTGGTCTGGGTCAACCAGCGCCGCCTTACATGGCGGAGGTCAACTATTAAGCCACGCCTACCTCCGCTATATAAGACCTGACCTCATGGTGACCTACCTCTCTCTTTCTACCTACACCAACCAGCAAGCAACACCTCCTCCTCCACCTGCCTGGCGGTCCTCGCTCCCGCCGGCGAGCATGGCAACCCACAAGCTGGTCCTCCTCTGAGCATCCTCACTAACCAGCTCTCTCTACATCACACTTGTAACCATGCTGCCTTCCCAGCACCAAGCTGCATTGTACATCCAATACAACATGTATACAAAGAGCACATTGTGAGTTTCCTTTCTCCATCCCATCCTGAGTGTGGAACCCAAACATAACGTACCCCACAAATGGTGACCCCGGAGTGACGCACTCACACAGGATGGAGGAGAAACCGATTACTCTCCCAGTCTTCAAGCAACATGGAAGACTGGCTTACCCACACAGAGGCAGCTCTCATCGGCTCTACAGCTACTGTTTCTACACCGCAGGTTAGACACCCTAGAGCAGCTCTGCTACTCTTAAGCAGACAGCCACTCCTCTTCCTGCCCCAAGCACCACGTCCTACCGACCCCAACACACCCGTCCTGCCTCAGACGCCGCCCCCAGCCCAGCAGTACCCCCTGCCGCTCCTCCTGATGCAGCCCCTGCTCCCGACGCGGCCCATGCGCCTGAGTGCGGACCCACACGCCCCTCTTTTCTCCCTCAGGTACTCCCTGCTACTGTCCTGCACCCTGCTGCTGTCATACACCCTGCTGCTGTCACGGACTCTCCTCCGCTCCTGCTGACGCAGCCCCTGCTCCTGACCCAGACCCACACACCCCAGCAGGCGCATCTGACGACTCTGTACCTGCCGTGAGGGAAGCGCAACATTCATCGCCTCCACACACCCTTTTTCTCCCTCTCTACTCCCACAGATATTGTGTATCTAGACAGTTGTATCCTCTAGCGGCCGGCTCATCCACGCCCTCGCCGCTATGGCTCACATGTGGCATGCACCGCCCGTTCTGCCTCACATGTGCCATGCAACCCTGCAGACAACAAGTCTCCTACACCGCCTGGAGGGAAGGGGGAGTACTGTAGTGGATACCTCCCCTACAAACGCTGTTTGTCGCTGAGTAGCCGACCCCGCGAATTCCCCAGTGTATGCCTCGTGGTCTAGGTCAACCTGCGCCGCCTCACATGACGGAGGTCAACTATTAAGCCACGCCCACCTCCGCTATATAAGACCTGACCTCGTGGTGACCTACCTCTCTCTTTCTACCTACACCAACCAGCAAGCAACACCTCCTCCTCCGCCTGCCTGGCGGTCCTCACTCCCGCTGGCGAGCATGGCGACCCACAAGCTGTCCTTCTCTGAGCACCCTCACCAACCAGCTCTCTCTACATCACACTTGTAACCATGCTGCCTTCCCAGCACCAAGCTGCATTGTACATCCAATACAACATGTATACAAAGAGCACATTGTGAGTTTCCTTTCTCCATCCCATCCTGAGTGTGGAACCCAAACATAACGTACCCCACAAACTTACTGTTACCGAGATGGGGGAAGTGGCTGTGAAGTCCTCCATATTAGACAAATTTTCAAACATGATATACTGCATATTTAATGAATTAACATCAGCCTTCTAAGAGTCAAAACATAACTAAATGATGCTTTAATTTAGTATAACTAACAATACAAGTAATATACTAACCAATGACCTGGGTATATGTTGTCAAAATAACTACAGTACATTAAATGGACCTTAAATTCTTTCATCTTATAAACAAAAAGGATGTAAAGTTGCTGGTTGTTAATGAGAGGCTTTCCTGTGGATAAAATGCTCGACGGCATTGCCTGACAAATATCCTCTTGTAAAACTCCACAACCAGCCAGACACCATTGTTATTTTATCACATTATTAAGTTAATCACATGACGTTATCGTTGCTGCTTTTGCCTTACCCTCGTCTTAATTATCTAACCATACGAGTATTTCAAATTTAAATGTGATAGTCTATAATGACATGAGAGCAATAACAATGGATATAGTTCCTACTTGACACACAGGGTTTGTTGACAAGTTATTGTGATGGAACAGCTGTGAGTTGATGTGAGCTGCCAGTTACGAGAGCCACAGCTATTTTAGTCTTATTTGATCACAACTAACTTTATTTATTTATATTATATCATAATTAAGCTTATTTTCCACGTAATTTATGACAACTAACCTCATTTTTATTTTCTATAATGGCTAACCTTATTTTTATATTGTATGATAACTAAAAGGTGACCAGATTTTCCAGACGGGAAAATGTTGACTTGCCAAAAATGCTAAATTGCCGAACATAAGTAATTAGGCATTAAATGCATGGGTAATCATCTTAAAATGATCTCTTATTGCCCGTTTCCTCGTTAAATTTTGTAATACTTTATGAAATGGTAACGAAATAAAGAGGATGTGCAATATGAGTTGCCAAGTCTGTAATTTCTAAGTTGCGCCGTGTTTGAAATGTTCTAAGTTATATCAGTCACTTCTGGGTGTTTTGGTGTCTAATAACTTGCTGGTGTCTTTTTCTCTTAGCATGATTATCGATCACTGACTTTTTGCTTGAAATATTGGTTGTCAAACAGTACACTCAGTGCTTTCATTTTAGGGTAAAATACCCTAAACTAGGGACTCATTTAGGATAGTGTTTAGGGTAAACAAGGTCTCGTTTTATTTAATTTCCAAATATTTTACATTATCTGTTTTAAGTACAAGAATAATATCTTATTCTTTCCTAACAACAAAGAAATGTAAAATAACAAAAATTAAAAAGCCACACTTTTAAAAATATACCAAACAGAACACACACAAGTGCCCCGCCAAGAGCAGCATCAGGTCTGCCATCTGTAAACGAGGGGCTGTACACACACACACACACACACCATGTTTACACAACGCAATGACAAGTCCTGATCACATTATTCACACCAAGGTAGGTAGATACCTAACTTGATTCACACCCTCTCCTAAGTCAGTGAAGTTGGTGGCTGTCCCCAGCAGTCCAGCACAGTGCACAAAAGCTCACAACGTTTCCATATATACAGTAGGTGAGTGTTATTATTATGTGTTAATAAGAGTGCCACGAATTATCAAAATTTGTAAAACATGACAAATTATGGGTGAATGACAATCTAACAGTGGAAGCTAATGTTTGCTGATGACGCCAAGTTATTTCGGGAAATAAAGAACCAAGCAGACTGTGAAGAGCTGCAGAAGGACCTCTGTGGGCTCCAAGAGTGGTCGAAGGGTGACCGGATAAAACCCCAACGGACAAAACCCCAGTCTCATATATAAAATATAAAATAAAACACTTATGTTTTGCTTAGGTTAGGTTAGGTTAGATAAGTGTTGATAAATGACAACCCCGTTCGGGTTTTGTCATGGAACCTGGTCGAAGAAATGGCTGCTAAGATTCAATGTCACGAAGTGTAAGGGGATGCACCTGGGGCGTACCAACGGTAAGGAGGCGTGTAGTGGAATTCTCCCCTACAAACGCTGTTTGTCGCTGAGTAGTCGACCCCACCAATTCCCCAGTGTATGCCTCGTGGTCTGGGTCAACCAGCGCCGCCATACATCACGGAGCGGGGGTCAACTACTAAGCCACGCCTACCCCCGCTATTTAAGACCTGACCTCGTGGTGACCTGTCTCTTTCTACGTACAGCTGCAGCCAGCAACACCACCTCCTCCGCCGCTGCCTGGCGGTCCTCTCCCCCGCCGGCGAGCATGGCGACCCACAAGCTGTCCTTCTCTGAGCATCCTCACCAACCAGCTCTCTCTACATCACACTTGTAACCATGCTGCCTTCCCAGCACCAAGCTGCATTGTACATCCAATACAACATGTATATAGAGAGCACATTGTGAGTTTCCTTTCTCCATTCCATCCTGAGTGTGAACCAAACATCTTGAACCCCACAGGCGTATCATATGTCCCAACGGGATGAAGAAACTGCACTATTTGAGACTGTATGTGAGAAGGACCCTGGTTCTCCTCTTCGTTATATATATATATATATATATATATATATATATATATATATATATATATATATATATATATATCTTGATAAAATCACACGGGAAAATGGAAACAACGGAGTACCTTAGCTTTCGTCTTTATTCAAGACATCTTCAGAGGCAACTAGATTACATGGACAGAGAGAGGCTTAAATATACAGGGTGACCTAAAAACATGAGGTCAGGTCATAATGATGACATCCACTAATCCCCACACCAACACAACCGTAGAGGAGCTTAAGAGAAGGGTGGTGACGTGACTAGACAGGTCAGGTCAGAAAAAAGGGACCCACAAAATAACTGTCATACATCAAGATCAAAGGTTTTCAAAGCAGTTTTAACCTTGGGCCACTGACAAATAAATTTATGTAACATATTATCAGTTTTGAACTGACCATCACTAAGGTTTATTGATTTTAATTCCTTAATCAAACTAGCTTCAACCAGAAGTCTTTCTGTGACACAAGATGATTTGAATACTTCTAAGCTTTTTTCCCAAGCAATGGGGTGATTATTATTCCTAACATGAACGAACAAGGCACTGCTTTCAGATGCAGTTCTGATATTATACTTATGTTGTTTGATTCTGAGCTGCAGTGTTTTTCCTGTCTGACCTACATAATTACAATTACATTGGCTACATGGAATACAATAAACACTTCCATTTACATTCAAACATGGGCTATTCCTTATTAACATATTGGTAATGGTTGAGTCATACTTGAAAACAACATTAATATTTAGAAGCTTGAGGGACCGAACTAAAGGGACAAATTCATCACGATAGGGCAGAGTCAAAATATTCTTAAGTGTAGGAACTTGTCTGGTTACAGAGGAATGAAAGGATTTTTTAGCCCTTTTAAAGCAACGATCAACAAACACAGAAGGGTACCCAAGTTTCTGTGCAATAGAACGAATGTGTTTAAATTCGTCGTCAATAAATTCAGAGTCACAAATACGCAGACATCGTAGGAACATAGCAGAAAAAACTGACATTTTGGTAGACTCAAGGTGATTGGATAAAAAGTGAATGAAACTGTCTACCTGTGTGGGCTTTCTATATACCTTAAATTTATAGTTTTGGCCATTTCTCATGATAAGCATATCAAGAAATGGAAGGGATTCACTTATTTCTCTTTCAATTTTGAATGTGATACTAGGGACAATATTATTAAGCTTGTCTAAAAATTCCAAAGGGTCACTGTTTTTAGGCCAAAGACAAAGAACATCATCTACATATCTATACCAAGGAGGAATACAGTCCACTACATTGGGGAGTAATCTAGACTCAAAGAACTCCATATAAATACAGGCTAGAGGAGCAGAAAGACAATTACCCATGCTCATGCCAAATACTTGCTTGTAGAACTTCCCATTTGCACTAAACACATTGTCAGTTACGCATAACTCTATCAATTTCAGGAAAGTATCATGTTCAATAGTTAAATCTAGCAGTTGTAATTTATCTTTAAGAAATGAAAGTAAGTCTTTCACAGGTACTCTAGTGAACAGTGAATTTACATCAAAACTTATTAATTCGCAAGGTTCGTTGTGTTTCTTGAGTTTATCAATTAAATCACTGCTATTGCGTATATGTGAATTAGATATTTGGCCTGTAAGAGGGGATATCATCTTTACCAGCCACTTGGATAATTTGTAAGTAACAGAACCCACAGAACTCACGATAGGACGTAATGGATTATTAAGCTTGTGTGTTTTGATCAATCCATACATATAAGGTAAAGTGGGATTGATTTGAGAGAGCTGTTTAGTGAGATCGGGGTTCTTTTTCAATAACATCTTCATTTTGGAATTAGATAACTTATTAATATTTTCCAGGGGATCTTTCGTAAGCTCACAATACGTGCTTTCATCACTAAGTAATGAATTCATCTTATCATTGTAGTCACTTTTATCCAAGATAACAATAGCATTAGACTTATCAGCCTTGGTAATATGGATATTCTTATTTCTTTTCAAGTTTATCAAGGCTGTTTCAAATCTTTTTGGAATGTTTGAAGCAAATTTCTTATTTAAAACACTATGTATACAACCTTTAGCTATGGAAATATCTTCATTTGTAACATCAGACGACTTCATCTTTTCCAGGTTGATTAAACCTTTAGCAATAGTAAGCGGATTAACGCACCGTTGAGTGATAGAAAACTTCCTACCAAAACCAAGAACAAGTTTCTCATTTGTCTGTAGATCATAAGATGATAAGTTTATGAACAAATTTGGATCACTCAATATGGTCCAGTAACTCTCGTCAAACAGAGCATTTAATTTGGCATTTAACCTTCTTTTTTGGGCTTTGTCAGTTTCACTAAGAAGTTTTTTCTGCTATGTTCCTAAGATGTCTGCGTATTTGTGACTCTGAATTTATTGACGACGAACTTAAACACATTCGTTCTATTGCACAGAAACTTGGGTACCCTTCTGTGTTTGTTGATCGTTGCTTTAAAAGGGCTAAAAAATCCTTTCATTCCTCTGTAACCAGACAAGTTCCTACACTTAAGAATATTTTGACTCTGCCCTATCGTGATGAATTTGTCCCTTTAGTTCGGTCCCTCAAGCTTCTAAATATTAATGTTGTTTTCAAGTATGACTCAACCATTACCAATATGTTAATAAGGAATAGCCCAAGTTTGAATGTAAATGGAAGTGTTTATTGTATTCCATGTAGCCAATGTAATTGTAATTATGTAGGTCAGACAGGAAAAACACTGCAGCTCAGAATCAAACAACATAAGTATAATATCAGAACTGCATCTGAAAGCAGTGCCTTGTTCGTTCATGTTAGGAATAATAATCACCCCATTGCTTGGAAAAAAGCTTAGAAGTATTCAAATCATCTTGTGTCACAGAAAGACTTCTGGTTGAAGCTAGTTTGATTAAGGAATTAAAATCAATAAACCTTAGTGATGGTCAGTTCAAAACTGATAATATGTTACATAAATTTATT